AGGGATGAAGAATTGAGTGAAGATTTAGCTACTCAAGGAGACCACCTCTGGAGCAAGGGGGTGAGAAATAAGCAGAGACTTCACATCATTTCTAAATTAAAGAGGTGCATTAATAGGCCCGGCATGACAGGCTACTATCTTCAAAGTCATTATTAATATTCAGTGTCTAGCCTGAATTTATCTTGAATATATAGCTATTTTCACTTTTACAATGATGATTTACAAAGTTGGGAATCTTCGCATGGGTTCACGAGGTATTTATTAATTTGGAAAGCCAAATACTGCGAATTTACAAATCCAAACATTTAGTCCACTTGTTCGATATACAAAGAACTGATGAGTGAAAACTTACCTAATTGCCTAATAATAGGTAATATATCTTATTAATTTTATTTTTATTTTTCATGTACCAACTTCGATTTTCCTTAAACCTAGCGACAGAAACTGAACTTTTGAGGTAGTAACTAATGATATCTAACTAGATCAATATCAAAGACACATTTTTTTGAATGTATGTCCGTAACTTCTGTATTACAGGACTGTTGATCTTTATTTCTTGTCTGATTCTCATTCTCATTGCTGGTTCTAGGCAGAAAGAGAAGGTTAATGTATTCATATTGTAACAAAGTATTCGTGCCGTAACGCATACACTATTGGTTCCAATACTGTTTGGCCTTAAGACCTGCCTCCTTTGATAATGATTCTATAACGTATTGTACTGTCTAACAATATAATTTCGAAAATAAATCTTAATCAGCTGCTGTCATAGGCTTTGAGTGCAATATAAAGTTGGCACCACGTAAAGGAAGACCGCCAGTCTTAGCACATATCGCTGTACATCCACTATTGGCAATGTACGGGGGGCTAGAGGTATTAAAAAAATTGCTTACCACTGATTGCATTCCGTTTCTTATAGTGATTGATGCACAAGGTTGCGATTCCAGAGTCACTTTTATTCAGATCGATGGTTCCACCTGTAAACTGGAGTAAATGCATTTCAATTTCTTCGAGCGAGTTCTCTGGGCCTTCGTAGTAGTTGACGGAAGGTTTCAAGGGAAATGTCTCAACCGAGTTCATAATCTCTGCTCACTTAAAAGGGCCCTACAAGAGTTAGAATATTCTGAAGTGTAACTATTCCACTGAAATTGTCTCGCCTTTGCTAATTGCGTATCACTTCCTTTTGTTGTAATTAGATTTCAACAGATTACAGAATTCACGCCGTTGCCTGACTTTCCACTAGATGTACGTACCAAACTCTAATAGTCGAAACGTCATCAAAAAGTCTCGAGCCAAATTCGAACGAACCCGCGATGAGGAGAGAATGATAAGACGAAAGAAAGAGCTGGATGGTGGCGCGAGCGGGTGAGCGTGTTTGGTCGCATGAGAGACGCGTCAGAATTGCTTATCACTGTTCATGCACGTTACCATCTCTGTTGTGTAATGCGTCGAACCTCAGTGTCAAGGATGCCGGAATGTTAGAAACGAAATAGAAACAACAGTTTCGCCACATGAAAGGTTAGGTTTTCACTCCGAGACGCAGTTTTTACTTGCATTTACAATTTACGATACATCCTGACTTCCAGAAATTGAATTATTTAACGCTGATTGATTGTTTAATGTATTTTGAGCATGCCATTTGGAGAGAGAAGGATGCGAGATCTCACCGACCAAATTTGTTTAACATCTTCAAGTAAATAATCAGTATTGATTTTAATGCAATAGAGAAAATTAGTGAGTAATTGAATACTTGAGACATTTAGTAATGAATGCGTGCAGTTGGTACTCCCGACTTAACTTAAAATTACGCGAATTATGTAAGATGGCGGGCTTGAGGTGGCACTTATGGGAGTGGTGGATTGAAATTAAATTAAAAACATTCAGTACGTTTCACGTGACAAGCATCAATACTTACCGAATATTCTAAACAAAAGCATGTGGTTTGATGTGATATCTCCTGTTTTAAATGGATACTGTGTTATTGTACGTTTTTATAGTTTCTGGAGAAGCCATACCCTATCACTAGGCAGGGAAGTGACTCATTCATAGACAATGGATCCTGACGTTAATTCGTCCCCCTCGGATAATGTCAGTAAGACTGAAATGAAGATCTGTGGAGTGTGTGGTGATCGGGCATTGGGATATAATTTCAATGCTGTCACCTGTGAATCCTGCAAAGCTTTCTTTAGAAGAAATGCTTTAAAAAACAAAGTAAGCGTTTTTAATGAAAATGAATACAGTATTAATTAAAAGAAGGGCTTTAAAATATTTTATGAGTATTCTATTGTTATATATTTTTGTTACAGGAATTTCAATGCCCTTTCAGTGAAAACTGTGAAATAACAGTGGTGACTCGAAGGTTCTGTCAGCGTTGTCGCTTAGAAAAGTGTTTAGCTATTGGAATGCGAAAAGATTACATTATGTCAGAAGAAGATAAAGTAATTAAAAGGGAAAAAATAGAACAAAACCGTGCAAAAAAGAGACCTAACCAACAGTGTGCTCCTTCAAAAGTTAAAAGTGAAAATGATGACACTTCTGACACATTGGAACAAGAAAGGTTTTTAAGTCCTTTTGAACAAACTTGTGGTGATGATGTGCCTCCAAGGAAAGTGAAGTTGTGGCATGGTGTTGACAGTGTAAATAATTCTGATGACACGGAACGTTTCCGTACTGTTAGTCCTCGTGCATCAGTGTTATCACAGCCGGGTTCTCATCCTCAGCTAGCTGATGCGTACCCCTCTCCTGCATCAGCTGGCAGTTTGTCAAGCCCTTCATCACCTCATGACAGTGCATCTGTAGTTGGTTCCAAGACCCTGGAGATGTTTGCTGAGAATGGAAATTCTCAATTGGGGCCAGTTAGTGTTATTAGTAATTCTCCTAACACAGGTCCAGAAATTGGATCTTCTGTGGTGCCTGGAGTTTCTGGATATGCCAATCATTTCAGAGACAGGGAATTAGGAGGTATGTAGCAATTCAGATTATTTTCTGAAATTAAGTTCTTTCTTTGAAGGAATCTGTAAAGAGATCTCTACTAATTGATAATTTTCTGCATAAGTGTGTTTTACAATGTGGTACGGTTTTTGACTGAACAATAATGTAATATTTCTATTAATTTTAACATGTTTAAGAAATCGTATTTAATGCATATATAGATTGACACAGGTTTTTGACAAAATATTTCAGCAAAACCTGAAATGTGTTCAAATATGTATGTTTAAATATATTGTTTCATTATATATTGCTTAATATTTTAAAATGAGGCCGAAATGTACTTAAATAGGAAAACAATCCGCTTTATTACTATAACAGTTTATGTTCATTATCTATTATATTACTAATTTCCAATGCATGCAGAAATTTGTAAGGAAATTGAAGGGCTTAGTGCAACAAGGGGCTATACCACATTGGCATAGTTCTGTGATAATAAGTATTTTACTTAAACCTTCCTCATATAACTCAGTATGTTTTAAAACCTTTAACACTAGAACGCCCAGCTTATCAATACTCCCTAGAATGCCCAGGGGAGTCGATTTGACTCCGACCTTTCAACATTCCATCTTTAAAGGAAATATTGGAAAAATATTTATATATTATGCTACAACTTAAATATATTTTAAGCAATTATTGTCATTACTGTCCAGTGAAATTGAAGTTGAAGGAACACGTTGAACAGAATCCGCAAATAAACAGGCAAAAGTTTATGTTCAAAAGTAAATTTTAATGTAGTAACAATATAGTTGTAATGATAAAAAAATGTTATAAACATTTAATTTTAAATAATACTAATTTCACATGTGACCCAAAAGTATATTTCCTTGTAACACACTTCCCATACTATCTCACAATGTTCCAAATTTATCCGACATATTTTACATATGTTTGTTTCACACCGATAGGAACTTTGTGAGTGTTGGAGAACTGGGTTCTAAAAGAAATTTAATGCCATGTTTCAAAAGGCAGTAGTTCTTGTTTAGGTTTTCATTGTATTTACTTTCTACATTTCTAACCTTGCTAGGCAAATTGTACAGATTGGTATAATTATAGATCTAAAACTGTAACGACTTCTACAGAATACAGTTTTGGAGCACAGTTTGTGGAATACTACATTCATTTAATCAACACCTGCTTTGTATCCTATGTGTGGTTCATGGCTATATTTTCCAGGCATTTCCTCTCGTCTTTCACAAAACTCCCACAATATTTCCATGTATGTGAAAACATTGACAAATAATATTTTAGTGATCATCTCTCAAAAGTAACAATTGTTTACTGCTTTTGACCGGTTTTCATGCCATGAACTGTGTACTACATACATTGAATTTGGATGGTAAATACCAGCCTATCAACTGTATTCCTCTGATGCATAATATTGTTACAGTTTATATATTCATCACTTCATACTAAAGAATAATATTTTCAGATGAAAGCAGTGAAATTTGCCGTTAATTTCTTTCCAACCCCCTTTTATTATTTCCAAAATTATGAAACAAGACAGTGTTAAAAAACTAAGAATATCTGACCACACCATTACCACCTGCCATGCCCTTCTGGACACAAAAAAAGTCGTGTACTCGATCATTTCTCTCTTTCTGAGTTATTTACAGAAATATTTTTTTCACTCAACTTTTGTGTGATGATAATTCTATTCTTTCATTAGATAATTTTTGTTTCAAAACAGTGATATTTGCTTCTGGCATGAAAAAGTCGTGAATTTGCTTGTATTAAACATGAGGGCTAGAAAAAAGCAGAGGAAAGAATGGTTGCAACATTTCATCAGATGGTATCCGAAATACTAGGAAAGACATTTAAAAAATTTCAGCGTTGAAATGTGTAAAAAAAAACAAAAACGTTTGAGGATGGAAACAATACTTAAGGAGTCGAAATAATGCTTCCCAGGCTTTCGAGGTAAATTCAACTATTTTTCATAAAAGATATTTTTTATAAATTTCAATTTTTAACATTCTGTAAATAAATGAAAATGACGAATTGTCACAAAATTACAAAATCCTATCTTTATAAACAAAAGTTACGAGGACATAAAGATCGCCAGGACTCGAAGTGACGCCTTTGGGCATTCTAGTGTTAAACACAGTACATTTGTGTATAAGACAACACAGGATTTAAATAACATATTACACTAAAGGAATAATATTTGAAGATTTGTATAATGCTACTCACTCAGTTTCACAAAAATGTGGGATAGCCCCTTCTACTACTGAACCATTCAATTATGCAGACTCTGGCCATGTGAGAGTTTGTTTCAGCAGATACCCAGGAATTCAGGGAGATTCAGGGACTGAAAAATGTCAATATTTGATTCAGAAATTTATGAATAGCACATTGAAATGTTTTAATGATATTTTTAATTATTTCAAATAAAATAACAAAACTTATAATGTTGTGTATCAAAATATTAATTAAAAACTAATTCAATTGCTACAATGTGTATTAATACAAAAAACAATAAAATAATTTTTTTTTAAAATCTGACAACAAAGTACAGACCTCATTTGCTGGTATTCACAACTTCTATTTCATCCCAACAAACATACACACACACACACACACACACACACTCACAAAATTGACTGAATTAGCTCAGAGCAAACATTACTATTTTTTGTAGTGGCTTTGACCAAAAAGACCTAGGTTTGAGTCCCAACGGATGGATTTTTGATTTAGCTATATAGCTAGGTCAAATTCAGCCACTGGAGGAAAATTCTAGTGGCAAGCAACTTTGATCAGTAGTTTCCTATGTTTCTCCTATCACTATCAGGTGTATTCCTAACAAATGAGCTATGTCATATACGCTATCTTCCTTTCCTTATTCTTGTCCCCTCTTCTCCTTTTACTCTCACACTTACACCTACATGAACACTCTACCAATCATGTTGGAAGCTTAGAGCTTGTGCGTCTGGGTGGTTCCCTGTAAGGGGAGAGACCTGAAAGGGAAAACATTGTAAGCCGATAATTAGTCAGCACCGGATTTCACGATACAGCAGGGAAAGAAAACCACCTTCTCCCAGGATGAAACATGCACTTCACTAATTGAACATACCAGTTGTCATGCTCAGAAACATCAATCAATGACACAAATAAAATACAAATCCTTAAAAGTTACACAGTGAAATTAACTTACAGTAAAATGCAAACTTGCTATGCAACTTTGCTACATGCTATACATTTATAACTTCAGTACTCAAATATAATGATATTAATGAAAATTGGGGAAAATGAGGGTATTGATTGGGGGAATGAAAACAGGTAATGATTATATGAGTTTGAAATCTTAACAAGAGGTGGTAGGTTAATCCTTAGATGCACTGTATTTATACTTTCTGAAAGTACTTCAGTTTAACTTTTCAAAATAATAAAAACCAGTATTTTATGTGAACTAAATTTAAAAGTAGTATTTCTCAGTAAAAACCCAAAAGAACTAAAAAATACACACTGGGTTATTTTTTTTTTCCATCCCTGATTTGATTGTGTTCTTCTGCCAATTTTCGTGCTCCTTTTACCGACTGAATTCTCATACTCAGTAAGTCACTGATAATGACAGCTGATGTCATGTGACATCAAGGTCGCCACTGGATTTCATTCATTAAGGATATTTGCTATCAGAGGAAACCAATTATTTTTTTCTTCTTAATTTATCACAGGAAATTGAAAAGGTATTCTGTTTCAGAAACTATGTATATTATTGGATTCATTGACAGTTGATTTAAATGATAATAATGTTTTAAATTAGTTTCTGTTGTGATTGTTTGTGATGTTGAATTAAGAGGCATTAATGGACATATGATTCAATTTTGATTGAAATTAGGCAGACTTAATTTTTACTTGATGATATGACCCTGGTCAATTTAGTAGTTTAGTATTGAGGAATATCTTCTATTAGTTAAATATGCAAGTTCATATACGTCATCAGAATAAATACATTAATTAAAGAGTTGATGTAAAACTGATTCAATGAATTTTCTCAAAATTGCGAGACTGACTAATTTTCATTTCATTGAGGATGATTCATACAAAATTTTCTCCATCTTTGTACAGCATCACAACTATAAATACAACTAAAGAGTTCACGCGATATGTCAGTGTTTTGAGAGGCTATTTATTCATTTTTCATATTTTTTAGCTTAATTGAGAGTCAAACTTCATAAATTATGAGTAATAGGGGCATTTAGCCTGTTGATTAAAATAACATTTACTGCATTGTTTTGTGAGTGGTTGATGAATTTTTCTGCAATTTAGATTGAAGTATTTGGTTGGTTACAGCAGGAAGCAGTCGTGATTTACCTTTATTATCATCACTTGTCCTCAACCACAAGGTAGAGGATGCTGCAGCCAGGCTGCGACAGGCTTCTGCTGTTCCTCCTCCTGCAACAGAAGCTACCAGCAGTTGGGATAATGTGCCATTGAAGCCAGAGGCATGTTGGATGAGCGGTAATGCACCTCGTGAAACATCGATTCAGAACAATGCTGCTGAGATTTTGCAGGATATTCAGAGGTAAAATGCTTAAATTTTCTAATTTTTATTTATGAATGTGTGCATTATTGTGAGTACTTTTAAGAACTGAAATTATGTCAGTAGCTTGTAACTTCAGTTTCCAACACTTGCTCTGACATAATGGCTGCAAATGAAGGAAAAATTAAGAAAGTTAAAGTGAAGGTAACGCCAAGAAATTCTTTGGCTAGCATTAAAATGGACTTTATTATACATTATGTATTTCGATTCATTATGTCATCAAGAATTTCCATTTCTTTCCTTTTTATATATATCTTAGTGTTAGTTTTCAATTTTCCATTTTTCCTGCACAATTCATAATTTTTAAGTTATTGAACATTGCATTTAATGATCATGGTCTATAATTGAATGTTTGCAGAGTTGGGAAAAATACTTGAAAAAAGTATTTCAGATACAAAATACTTTGTCAAAAGTATTTTAGGTACCAAATACAAATTGCAACCATAACAGTATTTTAGATATACAACAGTAATTTAATATACTTTTGAAAATACTAAATACAACCATTAGTGATCCATTTTTAACAATTTATTCCTCAAAATGTGGTTTTGATTTACAGCTGCATTCATATGAACAAGTGTCCCTTAAATACTACAGGTTTTTACTTTTCCGCTAACACTAATTCTGTAGCGAAAGTTATGTATGTGAAAAAAAGGTGAATTTTTGGTAGAAAAACACTTATTGCCGAACCCTGGTAACAAAAAAGTTGATATCTTGTTACAATAAATTTGATCCTGTTGTTAAATTTAGAAAAATTGTCCTCTAACATACGGTGTAGCCAGAATATTTGTTTTGATGGTCCTTGATACTAAAAAATTGATTGAGGGCAAAATATCTTCCCGTCCATCTGTTTGTGAGTAATGCTAGTAGCTTAACTGTTCAGCCAATTTTCTCCAAAATCTATATTCCCCGATTGATCTGGCTGATGTTGCAGCCATTTGAATTTGAAACCAATATTTCAATTTTAGGGGTACTTTATGTGAAACCCCTGGAATATTTTCAAAAAAATTTCTCCAAATTTTGTTGTTTGAAAGTGTGAAGGATGTTAAAGAGAATGGTACAGGTTTCATTTATGTTGAACACCCGGATTTTTCAAAAATAGCAAAGGTTCAATTTTGTCTGTGTTTTTTGTAACTAAAATACTGAAGATTGAGGGTTTTTTCCCTACATGAAATGTCATCCTGTTGATCTTGACCTCGTATTATATTGTATGTCATTGTATATTAATAGCCCCGAAGCAGGCCAAATAAATGGCCGAAATGTTGGCACTTTAAAAACTGACTTTTTATTGCCCTACCCTCACGATTCTCTACATTGTAAAGATGAAATATGTTCATCAGAAACATGTCTTCAAATAAGGTCACTGCGAGTCTTCTATTGGTTTTTGTAATAATTCCATCCAATTGTTGACATGATACAGTATATGAAACATAGTTTTAATTTTTGATTATGTGTTTATATTTGCTTGAAAACAATTAGTTTTCGCACATTATTTTCTATGATTTGTTGTGAGTTTTCCAAAAATTCACGACTGAGATGTGTTAATTCCGACAGCTATTGCTGTGTAATAATCATACGTAACAGTGTCTAAAAGCGAGAAAGTATGTGCTGTTTAGCACCACTAGTTCTGACATTGTATCACTAATGTTTCTTCTTCCAATTGTAATTGATAAGGGTTTCATTTCATTAACATTGAATTTTATAACAGGATCATGAAATTCTGTTTGATAGTTTCCTTCTTCCTACTTATTGAAGAAACCAGATGTTAAGCTTCTTTGTTAAACTTTTTGGCATGAGCTTCACTATTTTCAATGCTGTATCCTATGTAAATTTAATCCTCTGGACTGGACTGGACATTATCATAGTTTTCAAATTAACTCACCAAACGAAGAATTCATTAAAACTTTTAAAGAAATCATGTATCAGTCTCCTAGTAAAAAGAATGACCAGTGAAATTCACAGCATCATTGTGTGCATTTTAGAATTTATAATATTACTGCTTGTTATTTTTAGCTTTAAGGGTGTCTTAATATATGTGATCACATTGTAGGAACCACTTACTATTGCCTATTTGGTAGGCTTACAAATTTCACTTAACCCTTCAATTACAGTGAAATATGATCCGTATAGAATAGCACATTTTGATTTATCAATTTCCGCCCTTGTATTGTAATATTAGCTCTATACTGAGCAAGCACAAGCTTTTAACCAGTGTACACAACCACCTTCCAGACAAGTGGTGAAGCTTTATATGCTGACAATGTAATATGACTGTGAATCCATTTATCAATATCTCTAAGTGCATCCAGAAATAACTTATCTTCATTTATCCAAAATTTTGAGTTATCAAAAATGATCTTTTAAATATTGTTGCCGGGAATAAGAGAGTGCTTCAAAATATCAAAAATTTGTATTATCAACTTTTTTTTTCAGATATGACTATATATTTGAATTCAAATTTTCAACAGCAGATCAATAAAAAGTATTTTTGTATTTTGAAAATACGAAATACTATCCAAAAGTATTTTCCATACAAATACAAAATCTATGTTCAAATATGTATTTTCAATACAAAATACATGTTTAAAAACATGTAAAACATACATAATACATGAAAAACAAGTATTTTCCATACAAAATACAAATTACAAAAGTATGAAAAATGCGTATTTTAAATACCAGTATTTTGATACTGCCCAACTCTGAATGACTATTACGATTTTGGCTGTTTTGTATCCGCTTCCTTGGAAACCCATCACCTTCAGTTAGTCATTGAACTCTCAATTCTTAATCTTTTTCTGATTTGCTCATTCAGTGTACTGCTTTGCAGGTCATGTGTTGTTAACTGTATTACATCGTCATCTGCCTATAAATTTGGCTTTTCCACTTTTTTGGATGTAACTTCTATTCCTGCAACAATTTCCTCTGTTCTTTATTTTGTGTTTTCATAAAATTTAAAGTATACATATTAAACGGTCAACTATGTGAAATAAAAAAAATGTCTTTAATGGTTCTTAAAGATTTTTATTTGTAAATTATTGCTACATTAATTTAAAATAATTTCCAAAGAGAAGATAGTGTTTTAATATATTGTACTGAAGTTATTTTTGTTAACATCATTGTAATGAAAATGAAAACTCTTCATCCCAACTGTGTATTTTAGATTCACTTAGATCTTGTCATGAATTGAGAAGATTGATCCTTCTCCTTTAACTCCAGTCACAGACATCCAACAAAAACTCTTTTGCTAAATAACAATTTTATAGTTTGGAGTGCAATTGTGCATTACAAAACATTATGTAGATGTAAATTATGATGCCCTGCATACAAACACATGAGCACAAAATGAACTTTTAAAGTAGCACAAGTAAGATATAAAATCAATAAAAATAATTTGTATTAAAAAGGTATCACTTTTTGTAAGCATTATTTTGTTTTTATTGGAGTATGACTGAAAAAAAGAAATTCCTCACATATTCAGTTCATGTTGCATCAGTTGGTTTCAATCACTTATAACATTTTATGGTGAGTCAATTTTTTGTGTGAAATAATTTTTTCTTTTTTCTTATCCGTTTTAGGATTCCTGTTGCTCCAAATTCAATTGAATCTATTTTGAGTGAAGCCATCAAATTAGAATTTGAAGCCTACAGTTCCTTAGCCAAGTCTCATCAAAATTCCCGTGAACTCAATGATGCTGAGAGAGCAAAATTGAATGAACTTATTGTTGCTAACAAAGCCTTGTATGAGCCATTGGACGATGATCTTTCTTCTCTAGTTGGAGAAGATTTTCGCTTCAAAGTATGTTTTACGTGTATAGTACATAGTATTTATAAAGAGATATCTCAAATATTTTAACTGATGAATATTATAATTATGAAAGTTATAATTTTCTTTTAGGGAAATGCAGATCATTCTCCTGTTCTCCTTGATGTTATTAATCTCACAGCTATTGCAATTCGGCGATTGATAAAAACTTCTAAGAAAATCAATGCCTTCAAAAACATGTGCCAAGAAGATCAGATAGCATTACTGAAAGGAGGTTGCACTGAAATGTTAATTCTGCGAAGTGCAATGACATATGATCCTGATAATCAAGCTTGGAAAGTGAGCTAGAAATTTATTGTCCTGTTGGATATAATTTATGGTTCATTTTTATAATTTTAGAAACATCCTTGTTTTTTTATTATATTTTTTAAACCTTAGATTCCACATTCACAAGAGCGTCTAAATGTAAAAGTAGATGTGTTGAAAGAAGCCAGAGGAAACATATATGAAGAACATCAGCGTTTCCTGAGAACATTTGATCCTCGATGGCGCACAGATGAAAATATTATGTTAATTTTGAGTGCCATTACACTTTTTACTCCTGATCGCCCTCGTGTTGTCCACCATGATGTCATTAAATTGGAGCAGGTATGATCTATTAATGTTAAGGTAATTATTCTACCTGCATACAACCTGAAATAAGACAAATTTCATCACTAGGAATTCTAGTGAAGTTCTAATTATTTTCTTCTTTTTGGTTTAATGAAGTTTATAACCTTACAACATGATTCCAATTTAAAATCCATTGAAGGAAGTGAATATCAAAAGTTAAGTGAAATTTAGATATTCTGGAAAGGTTCAGTCTGATTTCTGTAGATCAGGCCTGCACAACGCCTGCTCACAGAGGCATTCTGCACTTACGAGCCAGCTGACTGCCCCTGAGAATGGCGAAACTGCAAGTAATGGAGGTCGCTGGGAGGGAAGCAACCTGTCACTTGCACAGAGGGGTTATTGTGGTGCGCAGATTGAATGCCTTGGTGTCTATAATGTGATGATTCATGCTGTGAAATTATTTGTCTGCTTATTTCAATGGGTAATCTGAATTTCTAGCTACAAAGGCCATATTTTACTATTTTCTTCTGTGCTCTGATATGAATTTACTTTTTTTGCTCATTGTGATTTGTAAACAATATTTTAAAGCAGTGGCTTTTTTAAAAAAATATTATGTAATTGTAGCTAACAAATATTTACAATTTAATAATTGATTTTCATCAGGAGATACCTTTTGGAGATTATAACATTCTGTAGCTTTCTGTAAGCTTATAAACAAAACTGTAATACTAATGAAATAGAGGGAAGTTATGACTGATTGATTGATTTATTAACACCACTGAAACAATAATTATTATGTAATGAAGCCGGGTCAGAGAAAAATGAGAAAGATATCTTGTGAAACATCACCGCCAAGCACTTCATTATTTAAAACAATATAATAATAATAATAATAATAATAATAATAATAATAATAATAATAATAATAATAATAATAATTACAGCAATTATTATTATTAAACAGGGAAATTAAACAAATTGAAAAATCTTAATAAAGTTAATAAGAATATTAATGAGTAATAACTTAATCATTAATGACAATAATTAATGAAAAATAATAAAATGTCATTTTGTTAGAATAACAATAAACTGGCCTTAGAGTAAATTCTCAAAGTGACCACCATTTGCAAAGAGGCCGCCATTTATTCTTACTCTACAGAATAAATTTTTGCTCTTTTTTCCAACTAAAATATCCCCTGTTCTCCCACCTCAAAATTTGTGTGCACGAGACTGTGTCACCTGATTGGTCGCTAAAAGTGAAGGGGAGCCAAGAGTATTTCATGCGTTGCCAAATTGCCGAAACAAGTGGTTGTGTTCTCAGGTATGGGTTGCGAGTTAAAGACCCTGTATATGCAATTCCAAGAAGAGTAATATTCGGGTGCACATATTTTTGTGACCTCGTTATGAAGCTGAAAAAGATATCAAAGAGCTCGTACGATATTTTGTCATGAGATTATTATGAGTCTTTATAAATAGAACGCAAAGGGGCATAATGTTTTGTTTATATGACAATTATGAATAAAATGTGTTTGTTGATTTGAAATTAGAAATATATAATGTTCTTTTGTCAGAAATTAGAGCTGTCAGTAATTCGTTTTAGATTCATACTTCACATTGAAATACATCAACAACAATTCTAAAATAAAAATGAGTACTTGAACTTAATGTAACAGTCCGTCATGTCCTCGTCGATTGCTATTTCAATTCATGCACTACAATTTGAATTGCACATACTCATTAACAGTCCCCACTCTCAAAATGGGTCTCATCCATTCTCTTCTGAGCTTGATGTATCACACTCAAGTTGTTTGCACACGGCTCCCGAGGTCAGTTAAAGTGCAAAATGTTGTGCAGGCCTGCTGTTTGCTTTATTAGTGATCTGTTGTGTTTACATTTGATGTACAACCATCCATAACCTTGCCAGGATTTACAAGTTTAAATGCTTGCTACTTTGCTCAAATAGGCAATCCTTTGTTATTAGTAATGATATTTAAAGCATTGCATTTCAGTCATTGTGATTGGTCACTGGTGTTGCTTGGGCTCACAGAAGGAATTTTTACTCTCTAGCAAATATAGTAAGTGCCTTGAAATAATCCTCCAAATTATTTGCTTATAAAATTGGACTAAACATTTGAAATTCAGCAGTACTTGTTATTAAACTTCATTGGAGCGGGCAGTGCTGCCATTTAAAAACAATTTTGAATCATGTTTTTGAAATACCTCAAATTTTGGTCACAGAGGAATTTTGCTTAGCATAGCATGCAGCAATTGACTGCTATCTCATGCTACCATGCACAAAAGTGATATGAAACTCGAGCTGCGTAAGCACAGATCAATAGTTCTATCAATTGCTGTAACGCTTGGCCTTGCAAAAACTCTCCAATTTTAAAGTAACTTCTTTTAATTTAAATTTTGAAAATTAAATTAATAGCCAAAAATTAATTTTTTTTGTGAATTGTTACAACAATCCCATCTATTTATAAATAGTTATAATAAAATTGCAATTTAATTTTTTAAATACTGCCAAAATTGTTCGGTTACTGGAAATAATTTGTCATTGTTTTGCCGATTGGTAGGTTACAGTTCAGTTAGCTTCTGTTCAAATGTCATCAGTGTACATAAGGTGTGGTGGCTTGGTTGCACGCTTGCCATCTGTGAAGTTGCTAAACAAATTTAAAAACCATGTACTATATAGAAAACATTGTAACATTTGTAAATTTAATTATAAGTATATTTTAATTATAAATAAAATTTCATTATAAGAAATATACAATAATACTGAAAAAATAGGCCAAATAGAAATTTGGAAAAACAGGATTCAACTGATAATATCTGTGATTCTCAACCAAAATTAATGAATTTTCCACTCTGAGACATGGAAGTCTCCTCTTCAAAACAGTTTTTCTGGAAAGTGATTTCACCCTCTCTCCCTTTGCTGGAAAATGATTTCTCTCTCCCTTTGCTGTCATTAAAACAAAACCAATAAAACAGCTTTTTGAAAAATGGAATTTCAGAGGGAGATATTGAGGGATGTGGAATTTTGAAAGAAGGGTTTGTATAATAATATCAGTGGTGATGCATCCAGTCATCAATAGATGTGGCAGTGACCAAGCAAAATAATAAAAATATTGCATTTTAAATATTGTGGCCAAGAATTGGATAATTAATCAATATTTAATCATGTTTAAACTATATTAAAAATAAATAAATAAATAAACAAACAAAGAAACAAATAAATAAATAAAATAAAAAAAAACCTGACTTCAGCAGTTCATATTCTTCTGTTAGCAATAAGTGCTCCTACACATTGCTGCTTTCGATGAACTTTGCATGTTCAGTGGTTTCTGACAGTGGCTGTCGAAAAGTGCCATTTGAACTCTCAGTAGTGAACTTGAATTTGTGAGTGAAACTGTGGTGATTTTTGACAGCGCCCTGATTTGTGGGCACTTTTAACAAGTTTCTGTTGTTTTATCAGGGTTCTACTAATTGCCATGCATTATGGGAAAACATTAAGAAAATATTGTAGTGCGGCTGAATAAAAACTCACTTGGTTCAGATAAATTCTGAGAGTAACTATTGACAGGGCTGAAATTTCAATGTTGCTCTTAATTTCTAAATTTCACAGCTACTGTTATCAAGAGACACCAGGCACCTTTGTTTACACCAGGTACTTTGTGGTGTCTTATTATAAGGTTTACAAATAGCTCTGAAGAAGTATCAAAGCTCTTTTGAAAGTAAAAAGCAAAGATAATAACATGTTTGCGTATCTGTTCGATTGATAATTAATTTCCTTTACAAAATCAGCTAAAGCATACAAAAAATCAGAAAATTTTATATATTGATCACAATCTAATAATATTATTCACATACTAATATTGATCACAATCTAAATCAAAATTTAGTTTTATCTTAACTCAAACTTATGGACCGAACTTATGTCCATGGATACAGGAACAACAAACCAAAGAATTAAATAGCAATAGCGATTTCATTATAGGCACATGTTTAGAAGATTTAGTACAAAGAATGCAGAGAAATACTTTCAGAAAAATTATTATTGTTTGCATTTTGAAAGGACAGAACAATGATAACTATTTCAAATAACTGATCTCCCAGTCATTTCAGAACGATAGGCCCAGATATTTGGTAAATCTAGTGATGACTATGTGAAAACACCTTGGCACTGATAAATACTAGTAGGAAATCTTCTTGTAAAGAATATTTCATTCTTTTTCTGGTGGTCAGTGATGGCAAAAGGCTTTCTGAAGCTTGAATATAAATAGTTGAGGTACTCCCTCAGCAATTTGGAACTTCTTGGTAGGTAGTGTTTCATTGAAATGAGTAGGCCTACTGGTTCTTGTTTAACTCAGCCATTGTTAGTTCTCGTAAATGGTATTGAATAGAAAGAAAGGTGTAATGTTGGTTGTTTGCAGAACACATACTACTACCTACTGCGGCGCTATTTGGAATCGGTTTACCCTGGTTGTGAAGCACGGTCTACTTTCCTGAAGCTCATTCAGAAGATCGCCGAACTGCATCGCCTCAATGATGAACATGTGCAAGTGTATTTGGATGTGAATCCTCGAGATGTCGAGCCTTTGTTGATTGAGATATTTGATCTCAAACCACATTGAGTGCTTATGGAAAATCAAATAATGTTATCTTTTCTCTTCACTGTAAAAATTTTCCTATGCATATCTGTGAGCAAATATGAATATAGCATCATCCATTTCGACGAAAATGTAATTGAGAAAGTAATTATTCTTGAACATTGAAGTATGATTATAGATTGTAGCTATATTTTTATGACTGACAAGTCCTTACGACATTTAATTCCAACACCATACCTCATCTCACAAATATGAATGTTTGTGTGCTTTAAGTGGTACATTATGATGAATTTCTTTTCTTTTATAGTTGTCTCCTTATCTGTAAGGTTCCCAATGTGTTGTTGGAAATATATATGGATTCCAGATAAATCAACTTTTGAGATGAAAGTCATACATTCTTTTGTATACAAAAGAAGAGAGAGATTTTTTTATTTTTTTTTTATTTTTTTTTATTTTTTTATTTTTTACAATTAATACCTTCAAACTTATTTCAAGATGTTTTAATTTCATAATTGGCATTTATTGAGAAATGTTTGATGTCATTGAATGTTTTAACTATTGGGATAATGATCTTAGTTTGAAATGCCAGGCACAATATTTCTGGCATATTGATAAGACATTAGCTTGTGTCTTGATTGTGAAATTTGGAGAGGTACATTCATATACATTTTTGACTTTTTCAGTTGTTGTATTACATAGTTGCTCTTAACCTTTGTATGTTGTTTTGTGTGCATTGTATTACATGTTTTGTTGGGATAGTTTACAGTTTTTTATTACTGTAGCCTTATATTTGTGTGTTATATTTTAAAATGTCAATATTATTTATGTATGTTAAATAGTTTGTAACAATTTGCATTTATTTACACAAACATTTTGTTTCTGAATGTTTGTTAATTTTTTCTTGAACCCTTCTTTTCTATATTGGGGCAAATTTTAACATTCGTCTTTAATGTAATTCATGTGAAAAAAAATTTACATGGTACAGAGAAAGTTTATAAAGTGCACTTTGAAAATTGGTAAGAAATATAATAGTTTAGGTTCATGCTTTGAATGCTCTCAGTTTGACTTATAAAACCTTACGGCATTGTGCCACCCAACAGTGTTGAAGTCTTGAAAGCAATATAATGCCTTCATGCATTAGTGTTAGGTATGCACATCTTATATCAGCTTAATGTAATGTAAATAAAAGATAAATGTAATGTATTTTGATATAATGTAAATTTATAAAAGTGTTATTTTTGAATGTATCAAATCTATGTATTTGTCATATTGTAATACTGTTTAAAATGTAATGCAGCATTGATTAAGTGTGTTAGATTTTTTTATGTTTCCTCGTTATGTGAAACACAAAAATCCAGGAAAATGTGCCATAACCAGGTGTAGCTGGTGCCAATATAGAAGTACAATTTGCCATCATAGTATAGAATTGTAAGTTATGTGTGAAGATACACCAAGTTCTTGTTACCTCAGCTGTGAAAGCAGCTCCTTCAAATGTGTAAACTAATGAGATCTAAGGCATACTAAATTTATGCCTGGCTTTCATTTTCAAGTAATACACACAACATACAAATTTAAGTATGTTATGTAATAAAGAAATAATTAATGTTAGACTGATAATTAATTATACCCTAAAACAGTCTTTAAAAGCTGCTGTGAAATCAAAAATACCAATGCTCATAAATGAAATTTATTAGCTTCTAGAATGTACTATATTTTTGTTGCAAAATGATTCTAATATAATACATTATAGGTTTGTTACTTATTTAATTATATTTTATTGCATACTAATAGTTGCATAGTGAAACAAATATGAAATTGAATAGCAAATGAGTTGATTGTGAATAGACAATAGATTTATGAATGGACAATGTAGAAAAACAATGAGAAAGAAAAGTATATCGTATGTTTTTTCTATATTTTATCTTCAATAAAAAAATGAAGATTTGCAGTTTTGTTTTATTTACTTTATGAACTAAACTGTTTTCATAACTGAAAAACGGTATTTAAGATTATTTATTTTGAACAGTCAGTACTACCAGCTGCACATTTGCTTAGTAGATGATGAGCAGAAATAAATCAGTGTATGTCCTTATGTATGTATGTACTGTTTTATTTTTGGAAGAAGGAAAAAAAAAAAAGTTTTTTCGTACTTTATTTTGAATTTGATGGTTTCATAACCTTGGCTAATTTGCCAGTTAATTTTATTGGTTAAGAGGGACTCTGTATCTGAAGATTACTTGTGCTAGAGGCATGGCTGACATCTTAAAACTCTGTTGCATCTATGAATAAGCATAACCAGCTTTGCATCAGATAATAGCAGGCCCTCAGAAAATCTGAAGAGATGGTCTGTTAAAAATAAATTATCTTGAAACCAAAAGGGTAAAAGCTAACAAGGGGAGACCCTGATATTCAAAATGCTTTTCCTAATTTAATGTACTTGTGTAAAACACTGAAATTTCCTTTTGTTATCAAGGTCCAGATAAATCAATTCAAAATCCCAAAATTTCAGACTTATCCTCACACAATAAATACATACATACTGCAACAAAGATAAGGAATTATAACTCTAAGGTACTACTTATCTGTATCACTATATTCTTAGGTTCACCATACCACTTAATATAAGTATTTCTTTCATGTATTTCACCCTTTCATATGAACAAATTGTAGAATTTTTGATTGAATTCTTTCATTGTTATTTTTCCTGAAGTAGGTAATAGAAAAAGAATTTGAAAGTGTAAATCAGAATATTTAGTTTTTCTGAAACCACCTTATTTTGATTTCCATAGTGGACAAGTTTGACTCCTTTGGTAACATCAATTTTGTCAAAGATTCATATGTATGTTTTTTTTTTTTGTGAAATTTACTCACATCACGTTCTTATTATTTCATTGCATAAAATAATATTACATACTTGGATAATTAAACAGTCCTTTATTAAATTTAAATTATTATAATAGTACCAAAAAAAATTATTCAGTGAGGTAAGTTGAATAAATTTAAATCAATTATGTGACCAATGATTCCAATCAATTTTAAATTTTTTATAGACATTTCAATCTGTAAGTGTGAGATCCTCTTCAGTATATAACGTGCCTTTGGCTATTTAAGATTTTAGATTTATATAGTCAAAAAACAGTAAAAAACTGTATGTGATGTATGGGGGAGAAGACCATTGGTGCACATTTCCTTGAGTTTCAGGATCCCTTCTCATTATTTTAACTAAAAATAGGTGAAAGATGAGTAGAAGATAAAGATAAATAAGTAAGTAAATGTTATGTGGCGCCTTGAACTCTGTTCAGAAGAGAATAAGAAAATGTCATGTTGAACAATATTATGTATCAGGGGGCACCCAGAGAAAACCTGTGGCATGAGGCAGTTGATCAAAAGGGGCCCGTTATTTCAAACAAAAAATTTCCTCCCCACAATTCATTGACAGAATACTTTTTGCCATTTCTCACACTTCTCATTTCTTTTGAATGAAAACAAATTTGGGGCCTGGGGCTGCTTCCCCCCCACTCCCACCCCACCCTTGGCCACCCCTGTTATGTGTGAACATAAGATGTAAAAGATCTCTCACGGTTAGTATGTGCATCAATCTGGGGTGAAAAATACCATTGTAAGAGTACCACAAAGTTTAAAAGAATCAAGCACACTGAACATGTATACAATAAATTAACAAAAACTGTTATAAAATTAAATGTTATTTTTAAAACATGTCTTATTAAACCAACAACAAATATTTCACAGAGTAGTTTTAATTTAGAGCTTAATGTGAATGTACAACACATCCAGAGGTCAACATTTTGCAGGTTTTGACCAGAATTATTCACTATTGTTGAACTTGATGCCTTATTTTTTAATTGCATAATTTATTCAGTGCAATACTTTTGATATTACCATTGTTATTACTTGGATTCTGCATTTATTTTAGGGAAACTAATTACTGAACATCAATGAAAATGTATGTTCTATGGTAAGAAAAATATTTGAAAAAGTCTACTCGCTAAGTATTTGTGTTTACTAATTATTTAAGAAGAAAATAAAATGATTAATAGGAGTATAAAATTCATTTACTTTTTATAAGGAGAAAAGTTAAAACAATGTTTGCAAAAGAGCAATGAGATGAAATAATATTTGATTAATAGATTGTTACAGATACAGACAAGATTGAAAATGAAATTATCAAACCATTGACAACTTTCACTTAGATAGCTTTAAGGGAAGAAGACAAACACAAAATTGGCCAGATACAATAGAATGGAGCAATGAAAGGTAAATTTTGAAACATGACCAAAGAAACAAAAATTAAACTCCATTACTTTGCAGCAAAACCATCCCTATTATATGGAAGCAAAATGTCTCTTAAAATTAAAAGGCAGAAGTAGAACGAAAGCAGCCCTAATGTAATCACTTAAGGGAGTATCAAGAAATGAAGATTAGAAAAGATCTGGAAAAAACCTATAGTAAATGAATTACAAAGTTACCAAAGGAAGTTGTGAGATGGATTAAGAAGAGTGAAAAGAGTTTCCCAAAACATCCTGAAGTACAGTCCACTAGGAAACAACCAGGCAGGCCAAAGAAAAGATGGAAAGTCCACGTAAAACCTCTGCAGGGACTAAAGGATTTCTGAATAAAGTGCAATGGCAGATCCAGGGGGCAGAGGGGCATGACCCCCTTCCAAAGGCCGAGAGTTTTCATTTGTTACCTTCTTTTATTTGGAAAAATTGATTTAAATATTTATGTTTGAATTAAGTAATTATTTTAAAAAAAATTATATAGTATCATATATACTAAAAAAATAATATACAATGTTATAACAAATGTTTATTATTGAACAAAAATCTATAGTAGCCCACTTCAAAATAATCAGCTGGATGATTAAAGAGACAGGCCTCCAGGCAAGATGATGTGATAAATACATAAGAAGTTTAATAAAAACATTGATAATTTTTATTCTTATGGGAATCCTTCAAATTTCCTTGGTAAAAGGGAAGTTAAGAGTGACCCTTTATTAACATTTCTTTCCTACACTATAATATAGGAAGGAAAAGTATTGAAAAAGCAATAATATCTGGAATTTTCAATTTAAAAATCCATGTTTAATTTAACTTTGCACATGTATCAGGGAATTAAGGTGTATTAGTGCTGTTTCAAAATTAATAAGATGGATGTAGACAGTGTGGAGATACATGAAATTTTCTACCCAAAATTGTCTGTGTGAATGGAAGGGTGAACCATGCATTACACTCTTAAGATTTAAAGCTTTTGAGCTCAAACTTGGTTAATAAATCAGGAGTAAAATCTATTTGTCCTGTTCAAGAGATTGTTAACCTCAGCAATACCAAGGTACATGCAACATATCAGGAAAGTCTCTCCACAGCGGTACCTTGCAACAGAAATTATGTTGGTAGTGCTAACTACAGCTTGAACACATGAATTGCGTACACACCACAATTATAATAGATGCTGGAAGCGTTGTTCCCTTCCCTTGTTTCCCCATGATCTGGTTGCTACCAACATAAATGAAAATTTTAATAGGGGACCCTGACTAGGGTCAGTACAGGCAGGAGGGTGCTCCATCATAGCCCACCACTTAATTGATATTATTGATGTTTTTGATAAATTAATAAATAAACTAATAATAGCACATTCACTTTTATTTTAATAAAAACATTAAATTTCTGGCTCTGCAAATGAAAAAACATCAATTTTTTTGCATCAATCTTTGTATTTAATGACAAATTACTTTTTTATGTCAAATAGGAGTTGCACTTTCATTACATAGTATTGTATTAAACTGAGTATAGTATTAAACTATACTAAGACCTAAAACATCCCAAATGTATTCAGAATGTTACATTTTTAAGTGAATTTCTGAATTTATTCACCCTTGCTATAATAACTGAAATTGTAACATACACTTGTGATAAATTGCATCATGTTTGAAAAAGCACTTTATAAACAATATCAATGATTTTCAGCAAACAACCAATGGTGAGCCTCTCGAAACACCTCTCTTGGTAATGCTGGAATGCTATATTTTTATTCTTGGGCATACTTTATAGGACCCTGACCCTGTGACATTTCCACAATTTTCTGATAAATGGTTGCAATTTTTTCTGTATATTTTGCTTGATTAGTGGAAAGAGCATTTATGAATATAGTGTAATTCTTCTGAAATTTTGAAAATTACAGAAGTTTAAATGTTTTTGAACCCGTTCTTCACCTACAGTATTAAAGGCATAGATTTTCTTCTCAATTTCTTCTTTTCTTCTCATTTTCTCCTCTGTTATTTATCCTTCAATTTTAGAACTTCAAATTATATCATGTACTTTGAAAAAAGAAATTAAGTTGTTGAGTAATTAGTAGGAAATTTTCGGTGTCACGCATTCTCTCTAGTTTTGTGTAAGTAAATAACTTTTTCGTCTATTTACAAATCGACAAACATTAAATTCGCGATTCGGCTCAGTTCCGTCTGGTCAACCTGCTTGTTTTAATATAGCGCCTGCAGGTGAGAAAGGTCAATTAGAATGTAATTCTGATTTCTGACGTAAGATGCCGTGCGTGGCGATGAGGGACCATTGTACTTCCTCTGTTTATTCCAGAGTGGTTGTTTGATGTTTTGCATCTTATTTCTTAATTGAATGTGTTTATCGCCCTCGTAATGTAATACCCGGTGCCAAAAATTAATGTTTGCTTTGCAGCGAACAGTCTTTTCTTCTCCACTTAAAACGCTGTGTAGAAACAGTGACTGATTGAACTTCTGTCATTAGCAAATTTTAATACCTATAATTCGAGTACTGATAAAAATACATGCGATTTGGACTTCCTAAAAGTAAGTTAATTTTCGCTTCAAATGTATGTGTATTTTGATGCACATTTGTCAGTATAACCTAGTTTGAAGTATATCACACCTCAATGTGAAATGTTTGATTGAAGGTTCATTGAGCAATGTACATTCTGTTAATGTCTCTGAAGTGTATGTAACCTGTCTGTTTTTTCAGAGTGCTGGCTGCTTGTGGACACATAACACCTTCTCTTTTATCATGCACTTGGTGAGTGAAACCTTGTAAATCTTGTGATTTATATTCTTTACTTGGGTGTTGTATTTCAGGTGCAAAATTTTGAAAATTTATGTGATTATTGTTATTTACTTTCCTCAATGCTAAGAAAAGCATAATCTTCATATCCTACAATAGCATTGAATTCTAGATTATTGTGGAATGTTTTGTTTATAATACAATACCATACATGATTTTAAGATTTCATAAACTGTGATCGCTTTGACGTTAAAAATGAAATGTTGACACTTGGTCTTCTTCACATTCTTAAACACACTATTCTTCTACAAAAATGAAGGATTAAAAAAATTGTTCATATAAAACTTGTATCTAGAGATCGTTAAAAATATGGTGGTTTTATGCATTTTAATATCTGATAACAGGTTCACGGCATATAAGTTTTTTCTGTCATTAGTGTCATATATTTGGGGAAAGAAGTTATTGTTTCTTCTGTGTTAATTTAATTAAGTATGGAATTAGAGACTTCAATTTGCTTTTATAGTAGTCACAATCTAAAATTTAGATGATGATAATCAAGAAATTGAATTAATGAGATGTAATACAATTAATAAGTTGTAAATATTTATTGAAAAGATGTAGAAAATTGTAAGTGAAAATAATTATAAGTTTTGTCTGTATGTATTGTCATTTGCACTGCGCAACTAACTATTAAACACACAGAGCTGTGACCCATTCATTTTATTTTTTTCTATAATTAATTTTTTCACATGTTGTAATAATTCAACTGGATAATGTCAGTGAACTAATCGTATACTATTTCCCTCATCACTTAAGGGGTGGAAATAATTGTGTAGAATTCTAACAATTAAAATACAACTGTTTCTTAAACTAGATAATAAACTCAATTAGTTTCGTGCATTAATTCTCCTTTTGTGGGTCACTTCTAGTGTTCATTTACTCCTAAAGGAACCAGGATTTTCCTCATGGTGCCATTTAAGAAATGTGCTAGTAAAAATTTGCTTTTTTCTGATCTCTTCCTCCCCATAACAACTCGTATCACTTGCATCCCCCCCCCCTCCCACTCTTGAATTAAATAAAAGCACTACTTAAAATGTGGGTGTTTAGTGGAGTCTTTTGAAATCTAAATGCAAGAATCACATTTGGTTAGTTTACACATTAATTTATATTTTATGTTAATATAAATCAGGATTACATGGTATGCTGAGAGTAATTTTTCATCATCCCTTCTCACACTAAATAGTATTTTTTAAATGGTCTCGTGTGGCATTGAGTCTGTTTAACTTGTTTCAGGGCACCTCTAGAGTTAGTGTGACTCAATGATGTTGAGTCACGTTGTGAGATGTAATGTAGGATTAGGAACAACAGTCTGTCTTAATAACTAGAGAGAGTGTTTTGCCAATGTTGCGTCCATATTGTTTAAAGATTAAATGAAAATTGTTTTGCCGAAAGTTATTTGCTCTGGATGAATGGCTTTCTTCATCCCTTTTTCATAATGTGACTAGCTTTCTTGAAGGTTTTATAATCCATACATTTCCATAGCCCAGATATGATTTTTTCAAATTTTGTTTTTTTAGATTAAATGTCATACTGTGAATATTATAATTTCCAACAGTCATAGTTCCTTGTGTCATAATTCGTATGTCTGTTTCTTGCAGCAGAAGTATTCCACTTGTTATAATAAAAGATACAAATATATTTGTTTGTGTTGGTGAATGTATCCGGTATCATTGTTGATTAAGTAGTTTATAATGATAATTTTCAATGGAATGTGAATGCTTTAGTAAAATTAGGTATGAATAGTTGGAATAAGAGAATTTATTGTGCAGGGGAAATATAAGAATACTGAATTCTACATATTGCAATGTATATTTATGTTGGTGCTAGGCACTTGCTGAGTATGCGTTCAATTGTATCTGGAGTATATTTTGTGGGAAGACTCTTTTCTGGAAAAGTCAGATTTGAAGTTAGTGATAAGAACTAACTAAATTATAGGAAGTAAGCTTCAGCTTACCAATTAAATTTTATTGATGCAAGTATAACCTATTGAGTATTGTTGAATTCAAATTACATCTTCAATGATCTGAGAAATTTAATAATTTCTAGAATATTGCTTTAATCTAGGTGTAGAGAATTTTTCCTAATTTTGTCCATCAAGGATTATTATAAATTCCTTTTTATTATTTGTTAACACAAATTTTTTATGCCTATTATAGGGGATATGCTCAAGTAAATCAGGATTTAGGGGATCATTATTTAGGATATTTAGGGGCGATTTCAGTCGAAATTTATGAATTATTTTCATATATAAGGGAGGGGTCGGAATTAAAAATGTTTATCTACGAATTTTGCTACAAAATATGCAATTATGCAACTCCAATGCCCTTAGGTATTTAGGGGATTGCGGTGCGGGCAGGGACTAGTCGCGCGGGACGGAACACAAACATTCAGTTTTAAGAGTAGAGGGCGTCGTTTCTCAATTCATTCCTACGTAACTATGTACGGTGGTAAAGTGTTGGTATCCCCCTTTACCATAATCTGCCAAGTTCAAGGTTTTAACTTCCAGATCTCATCAGTGCATTATTGTAGTGGGAAGTTTCACTTACGGGGTATTGTGTCGATGGTTTCTTAATATGTGGTACAAAATCGCCAATTTTGCTTAGCCAATTAAATGAAGAGGTTTCTCCATTTCGTGTAAACTTTTCATGTGCTACACACTCAATGTGTTTCATGTGCTACACACTCAATGTACACTCAACGTACTATTTTTTACGGGATTAATTGCGTTTTAGCAAATGAAGTGCAATCAAGTGGGAAAGAACTCCATGACCGAAGGGAAAACCTGCATTTAAAAGTTCTCGAATCCATGTGCCAACTCTTTCTTAATTCGCTATAACTTCGACTTTCAAAATTTCTGTGGGTTCTAATGAAGATGACGGCAATAGCTGAGTGATTTAGAAAGTAAATGGTGTGCATTGGCCTGAATTATAATACAATGTATGATTTTTAAAATAATGTGAAACCTTAAACGATACTTGCAAAAAAAAAAAAAGCTTTTGTAAAAGTCATTTTACCGTATAGCTCCTATTACTCTTTTCACATCGTATATTTCATCAATTTAAAGGTAATCCCTCATAATTTTGGTGCATTGAACCTTTAAATCTCGTACCACTGTTTGCTGTTTTTGTAGGTTCAATGTATTCTGCATACGTGCAGGAGAAGGAGGAGGTGCTATGGTTCTTATTTATACCTCTTATCTTTTATCTATTGTAAAGTTGTCTATCATATCCATAATGGACTTCTTTCGGAAGGTCCCGGGTTCGAGTAGCTATGTTGCGTATTTTCGATGCCATCAAGTACTGGGTTGAAGCCGTCCACTGTGAAATTCATCGTCCATCCCGTTCTCGCCAACGTATTTCTGGTGAGACCATGGGCTGCTCCCAATATCTCTTACATTTCTCTCGCATTTTTGGAAAGGCTTGGTAGATATGCAAGAAGTTTCGCGGTCGGTAGATATGCAAGAAGACAGGCGAAAACCCAAGGTGGACTATTGCGCCATGGAAATATTCGGGGTTCCGTACGGCAAGGTTTTATCTGGTGAACTCTTTATAGTCAGATCTACGACACATTAAAGCATTTTTCAGCCGTGTTGAGAACCTTCTATAAAGAAAATGGCATGGCATTGGTAGACACCTCTAAAATTTCAAAATGCTTTCCTGTAATATTTTGTCGAAAAGGGATAAAGCCTTGCCTTTCCGAGGCCGCGAGAGGCAGGTTTAATAAAGAGGGCAATTGTGCATTGGCACCACTTGCGTCTTTTCGTGACATGTGATTTGTTGAACTTGGAGAGTGCCAGCGGAGCCCCTGGGGCTTTCGTGGTTTGACCGAGGCGCGGCGCGGCGCGGGGTCGGGTCGGGCGGGCAGGGCTGCGCGTCTGCGCATGCGCTGAGGCTGGCGAGGAGGCGATTGAATGAGGTGTGCGCGCGCGATAATGTGCCCCCGCGTCTCCCACTCATAAACGCCCCCTGCCGCGCCGCGCCGCTGTCGCGATTCTCCAGGAGCCGCCGACGCCGACGCGGCTCGGGGGAAGGACTCGCGCGGGCCCACGCACGGAGGGGCTTGGAGCTGGAGGAACTGGCTGATTCAAGGGGGTGGGTGAACCACGCCCCCATTCAACAATGAAAAAATAATTTTATTTTCTCTCTCTCTCTCTCTGTATATATATATATATATATATATATATATATATATATATATATATATATATATATATATATATAAATTACCACATACAGATCACATTAGGTCCAAAGCATTATTCACAATACGTATATATTCATACACTTTTTTTATTTCGAGATAACAATAAAAAATTGTGCAAAAATTATGGAAGGTCGGAACCGATATTGCCTTCGCCCTGAAAATACTTTCGGATCCGCCCCTGGTTGAAGTCTGGAGCCCCCCGCTCTCTGCCCGCCGTTCAGAAATTAAAATCAATCCCGCTTAATTTGATGCTATAAGTTCATGGTTGTTATTTATTAGTCGCAAACGTTAGATTCATTTTTTTGTTTACATGAAAAAACAAACAAACAATAGTATCTTTGTGATGCCGAGGTATTTCACATTTCGTTGAGTTGGAAATGTGCCAAAATGCCCAAACCGGGTTTCCCGAAATGATTCGTTGGAGAGCACTCCGAAAGTTCAATCTCTCTACTAAACTTCCCAAAGAATGTGAAAACCCGCAAGCTTCCCAGAGTATGAAAATGGAAGATGTTTAAAAATTTGATGAAGTTAAACAGTGGCACAGTCAGAATTTCTCTCCTTCTCATTCTACGTGTGTGGAGGAGGGTGCAATGTCCAGAGACTTCATGTTTTTTAAAGTATTTGTCGTTTTTGCTGAATTAAAAAGTTATTTTTAAGTCTTGATTTATAGATATTTACGTCTTTAATTGAGACATTGAATGTGTTAAGAAGCTAGAAGGTTTTAACGCTTAGATCATGGAATGATTCAGCTGAAAGAGCGGTCAAGTTGATGCAAGACTTTCATGGCTTAATTACAGTGAAAGACGTACAGAAGTAATTTTTATAACGTTGCGTACAAGATCGTTAGAGGGTTTATACTGACGGTAAAAGCAACTTTGAAAATAAAATGTACAAAATAATATTTTCTAAATATTAAATAGATTTGATTTGAACATATTCGTATATTATTTACCAAATAAACACAGTTCTAGAATATTTCCTTGTTAACTCAGTATAAACGTTCAAGTTTAATGTTTGGCATCAAGTCGGCACGGGTTATCCTTATCCAATCGCGATAATATTAATTATTTGAGTTTTTGAGGCCAAACAGAAAAAAAGAGGGAATTCGTATTTGAGTTCGCAAAAAAAATCCCTTATGTCTAGGACACCCTACTGTGTATAGTTCGTTTCGTTGGCCACGTTTCATACTTACACATGTTACTTGTATGAAGTATTTCTGTTGGCGATTGTAGTGTTAGAAGTTCTTTCCTGCGAATGTAAATACCGGCCGCATGCTGTAGCACATTAGCAGAAAGTAAGTTTTATCGCAGGGTATTATTGATTGATGTGATTCATTTCATACTATTGGAGTAGATAGTAATTTCCGTGCGTGCTGCGTTGTGATTTCAGTCGTGATTGAAACGGTGCGGCTTCCTGGTGCATGATTGTTACGCATGACGTCCGTGTTAATTAAAGGTTCGTTCTTTTCGGCCTTGAGCGGTAATTGCTTAGGACCCGTGATTCAAGTTGAAGATGATACTAAGCGTGATATAGCATGAATATGTAATGCGTATACACATGCAGTCTTACGCGTACTTATCTTGAGTTGGGTTTTTATAATGTGGTGCGTCGGGGGCTGTCTTCACGATGGAATATCTCTATGTCGCGTCTTTCCCAGTGCCGCTAGATGTCACATGATTGCGGCCAAGCAGTGCGATATGTCTAGCGGCACGACCGAGAAAGACGCGAAATGTCGTGCGATATTCCATCGTGAAGGCAGCCCCTGACGCGCCGCGTTATAAAACCCCAAGTATATACACGCACCCTTACGCTCACTCCTTTGACAATATTAGTTTACGCGTAAATAAAAAATGGCAACGATCGTCGATATTTGATGTAGGCTCCCATGCAATAGAAATTATCTAGATCGAGAAACCATCTACATATTTGATAAACAACAGTACTGCCATCGAAAGCAGTCCACTCCTTGGGGATCTAGCGAAATGAGAGCTGAAGAAAAGATACGTAGATTTGAAGACACCGTATTTTGGAATAAATAAAATAAACCTAATGCACAAAATTTGTGTTGTCGCCGCGTGGTATTGGATCTTTTATTCAGAAGATATTAATGTTCTAACAATTTTATTTCTTATTGTCAAGTAGCTTCAGTTGAGTAACACAAATTAATTGATTTTTTGGTATTCAGCTCTAACTTTCGGTGAGCATCACTTCTTTTCTGAACAGCGGTATGTTTGTGATGACTCATCACATAAAACAGGATTTTCTTGCGCTGTCAAGTCTTAAAATATGCTTTCAAACATGCGTTATCAAATATGCAAATATGCACGAAAAAAGTAGACACTTTCAAATGTATGTATTTCCCTTTTTCTGCTGAAGTGTCTTTTGTAGCAGTGGTGAGTCAACAATTTTCTTCAGAAAATTAATATCTTTTGTCTGAAACGAATGTGGAAAATATTTCCTTCCGTCACAAGACGTAATAGGAATATACTAAAAAGACAAAATTTGCAATTCCAGTCAGTTTGTAGTAGTTTTTTCCAAACTTCCAAGAAATTTTAAAATGTGCAACTTAATAAAAGACGTGACAACGACATACAGTATGTCTGTTGTCTGGTGCTAAGGAAGTGCTCTGAATTGTGTATAATATGTATTTTAGCGTTAATATACTTAATGTGAAAGTCGTAATAAATAGTACTTATTATATTACAGAAAAGTGTAAATGGGGTAAAAGCTCAAGTAATGACGTCAGTTCAGAAGATTTTCGTAGTTTCCTAAAACTTCTTTGGCTACAGTACCACAACTATACTAGTTTCATGACTCTCAATGGGACAATTTTTGAATGGTTATTTTTTATTAAAGTATTTCCACATCCCAAATTTGTTTCAGTAGTGCCCACTTGAAAATTGCAAAATTTTGGTAGTGGCTGATATTTGACTCGGTAACGGACAATAAGCGGATGGTTTCAGCTTATTATTTAAGTATAAAATAAGGAGAAATAAATTACCTCCGTTCTAACCCTACTAGAAAGCATAAGCACAATGTTATGTATGTTTCAAGCAAGTCTCTTAATTAATTTTCAAAATTTGTGCTTGAAATGGCCACTGCTTTAGTAGTGTACAGTTGTGGCACTGTCGCTCTACGCAATATTACGCGAAAAAGTTATATAAATATATATTATTCATGAATGCCTCCAAAAAATTCACCAAAACGTGCAAATATGGAGGAAGGAGATATACATTTTAAAAAATGATTTTAGTTTATTTGAGCATTTCACACTCGTAGCATTAGCAGCCGTGGGAAAAATACCAAGTATGAAATCTGTAGTAAGCTTACATTAAAACAGGCCTTGGTTTGGAAATTCGGTCTCTACTCTTAACGAATATCTGAAAGATGTGATAGAATGCTCACTTACCTACCGTTGTCTGTCTTCGACTGTCATGTCAGTATGGGAAGTGATCGGTTGCAAGCAATGTTTAACCTTGGGCGAGATTCGCACTCGGAGAAGTTGGGTACACGTGTTTAGGCGAGAATCGAATTCTTGCCCCACCTCTTCCCCTACACACTCCCACACACTAGAGCGTATTAGTAGCAGAAATTCAATCATGTTGGAATTAGCACAGTTTCGAAGACAGTTTAGCATGTGAGTAAGTAAATGAAATGAAGTATTTCACCGTGAGGAACTACGCAAAAATATCAAATGGAGGAACTTCGAGTATTATGGAGTAGTGGAATAATGTGAAATAGTGTGAGTAGTGAAATACGGAGAACGAAGGGTTTTTCTTCGGTAAAGTGCTGCCTCCTACCTCCCGTCATTTGTCTGATCGTCAAAGGCTGTGGAGTGTAAATCGAGATTTCTTTGTGTTTTTAGATTTTCAAGCGGTTGGTTTTTAAAAATAATTAGTTTATTATTTTGACTGATCATTTAATATTCAAATTAAGCATAATGCATATCCACATACAGTTTAATAAGGAAACGGGTGTTAACTTCGTAGCTCAACCTAATTTAAGGGCATTTTTTTCCAATGTAGATGTGTATTATGGAATTCTTACTTTGTGTTACTTTCATTGTGCTGTTGCAAGACAGATTCTTAGAATTGTAATTTGTGTTGAAAGAACTGAACAACATTGACTAAATCTGTTTTGGGGAAGTTTGTTATATAGTTTTCTTAATTTTTGACCCCTGTTCCATATTTTGTATTTCTTAAATCCTTAATTCTCCAAATTAG